TTTTTTTTCTTTCCAAAGAGAGAAGTGAACTGGGGGGAGGTGTGGGCAGGGAGGAAAATGCTCAACAATGAATGCCTGGGAAAAAATTAAATGGGAAGAATATGCTATAAAAAATCATTTATGTTGCATTTAAGAAAAAAAAGAGTTGTCCTCTTTTTCTGATCCTCCACCTTTTCCAGCAAGGTAGCTTTTCCAAGGACATATGTCTCCTGACATATGCCCAAAGGAAATAAATATATGTTATTCTAGAACTGTTTTTCACGGATTCGAAGATACATTTCTTTCATGTTCAGAATATACTTATCATCAATGGCATCTTAACAATTTTCCACTGGAAGCAGTATTTCTTAGTAGTACATAAAAGTAATGGCACATCTTATAATTGGTGGTATTTTATCTGCAATAAAACACAGTCATTTCCTTACAATGCATGTTAGTAAGAGAAGGTAAACAAGGTGACTATGGGGCATAGTGCCTTCAAGTGTAAGGAGGAACAGGAGGTTGGGCAAAACAGGTGGAACCATCCCACTGAGGCCTCCTCCTGACTGTCAAGTAATGCAAGTTCTAAAAGTTATTTGTTATTTCTGAAACAGCTTAGCCAGCAAGGGTCTGAGTCAAAACTCATTGATTTCAGTTGTTCCAACCCCCCTTTTAGCAGTCACACACAATTTCTACTTAAATAGGCTCTTCATCTTTTTGATTTTCAAGAATCTCTTATTCAAATCACCAAAAGCACAAAAATGAAAAATTCTGGAGTGTGTTATATTTATGCTTCTCTGTTTCCCAACTACATACCCCTATAAAACACAATATTATTTTGCTTTTGTTAACAGTCTCTCAGAGAAGCCTCGTAAGCTTGGTGTGCCACCCACAGTTCTTCTTTGAACATGCAGGAAAGATAATTTCTTCTTCGGTGACAAAATCACAATCAGCTCAATACCTGGCCTTAAAGGAGAAAACTAAACTGTCTGAGCTTTCAGTTCCTATGAGTCATTCCTGGGAACATGAGTGCACATGTGTTCTGTGTCTGGAGGTGGAATGAAGGGAAGTACACCCAAAGTCACAGTACATAATGATTATTTTCCTAAAATGGTCACAACCATAAAGTATGATTTTTGTAAAAAATTAATTTTAATTAAAGTTTACAGAGACTTTGATTTTTCTTTCATTCACTGTTGTACTTTTCTCCCTGGCCAACCTCCCCAACCAGTTCACTCTTCTCTTGGGGAAAAAAAGTTTTCATTGTTATACAATCCCACCTCCCAAGTCCACTCCACTATGCAGCCTTCATTTTGAAAAGTAAAAGAAAAATTCTTTCATTGTTATAAAATCCCTCCCCCCAAGTCCACTCCACTATGTGGCCTTTGTTCTAGACTCCTGTAATGACAATAATACCTAATCATATATCCCTTTTAAACAGTTCCCTCCCTCATCTGTTTCAATGCAGTATACATAATTTATTCCATTTTTCTGTCTCCCTCCAACCCCGATGTCAGTCCTGTTTTACAACACTGGCACTATGCAGTATTTGTCCTTTGTGACTAAGATATTTTCCTCAGCATAATGTCCTCCAGGGTCACCCATTTTGAAAAAAAATTTCATGAGTTCCTTGTTTTTCAATGCAGCATAGTGTTCCATAGTGTGAATATACCACAGCTTCTCTACCCATTCATTTGTTGATGGACACTTGGGTTGTTCCCAACTCTTTGCTATTGTGAACAAAGCTGTGATAAACATGGGTGTGCATATATCTGCTTGGGTGGCAGTTATGGTTTCTTCAGGGTATATTACCAATAGTGGAA